TATACCAAAAAAAGCCTCTAAGCGCTCCAGATTATTAACTCTGGTCATTGGATCAAGCACATATGGAAAATATTGAGATCGATATTATGCACCAATGAGCCAGTTCGGAGTTTAAACTGCACACGTCCGCATCAAGGTCAATTGAAATAAACAAACATACACACAAAATAGGTTTATGTCCATTGACCTTGGATACAGGCAAGAACAGTTCAAACTACCTGTGAATTCTACATCAACCAATATCTTCTTAGTATGGTATTAATTTAAGTTATGTAAATACAATATTTGATTATTGTGTTATTTATTTGTTTCTTTTTTAGGTACTTTATTTAGTTATTTTTGAGTTCCCTTATTCACTAATCTTGAATCAGATATTTACATTGTGTTTGTTTTATTATGGAATAAAGTTTACTTACTTTACTTTTTAATTGATCAAATTGATACTGGAGTTTTCACTAAAATCACCACTCCTACCAAAAACGTCCACAGCACACACTGAAAAGTGATAAATACTACCATGTTGGAACTGTGTCAAGGTGCAGGCCATTGGCAGTGGAAGAGCTTTTACTTCACCAATCTTTTTCCAATTGCTACTGCTAGGTGGGCCTTCCTGTTCTTGATAAGCAAATAAATGATAGAAACCAATCTCAGCAGATCCCGGCTGCAACACCATTGTCCATGATAGAACAATTCCATTGGGTGCTCTAGTGATATTCAGTACCGGTTTGCCAGGGATCAGAAGTAATTTAGCTTGTAACGGTAACTGGGCGGGAACTGGTTGAGGAGGGAGTGCAGCTGGATGTTTCATTCTGAACTGCTGATGTCTCTGCTGCACATTAGCCTGGTGCGAGAGCGCAAGTAGCTGTGAAGCTGCAGTTTGTTGTGATGTTGCTGCAACTGGTGCTGCCCCTGGCTGCAGAGGGGGTTGGTTGCGAAATGACTGCCCATGAATGTGAGTGAACTCTGTCTGGAACTGCTTCTGTTTCTGGGACGTACTATGCAAGTTTCCCTGCAGTACACAAGAAATTATATATA